GGGCTCATAAAATGAGTTCATTTTATCCATTCTTTGGAATAATTTATACAAGATTGTGTTAGTTCTTGAAATGTTTAGAGAATTTACTGATGAAGCCATTTGGGCCTGAAGTTTTCTTTGTGGATAGGCTTTTAATTACAGATTCATATATATGAATCCAATATATATATTAGGAAGATTTGCCCTGAGCTAAAATCCACTATCAATCCTCTTTTTGTTGAGGAAGATTGACCCTGAGCTAACATCCGTGCCCATCTTCCTCTACTTTATATGTGGGACACCTACCACAGCATGGCCTGATAAGCATTACCTAGGTCCACACCCAGGATCTGAACCGACAAATCTGGGGCCACTGAAGCAGAGCATGTGAACTTAACTGCTATGCTACTGGGCTGGCCCCACAGATTCATATTTTTAATGGACATAGGACCATTTGGATTTTCTATTTCTTCTTGTGTTGGTTTTGGTAAGTTAGTATTTTTAAAAATGAATCTGTCCATTTTATCTAAATTGTCAAGTTTATTGGTCTAAAGTTATTCATAACATCTTAACTTTTGAATGCTTGGGAGATCTGTGGTGAGTCCCTTTTTTCATTTCTTCTGTTAATAATTTGTACCCTCTCTTTTCTCTTTACATTCTTACTGGGGTTTTATGAATGTTATTTATTTATTTTCTCAAAGAACCAACTTTTGGCTTTACTGTATTCCTCTTTTACAGGGATTGATAAAATATGGCTCATGGGTCAAATCTAATCCATCACCTGTTTTGTAAATATAGTTTTATTGGAACACAGTCATATCCATTCATTTATGAATTGTCTATGCTGCTTTTGAACTACAGTGGCAGAATTGAGTAATTGTGACATGTCTTATGGCCCACAAAGTTTAAAATATTTACCATTTGTTCCTTTACAGAAAAAGTTTACTGAACCTCTGCTTTATTATATGTTTTTTCCACTTGATTGATTTTTGTCCTTATCTTCATTATTGCTTGCTTATGCTTTTTTTGAGTGTAACTTGCTATTCTTTTTCAAGCTTCCTGAGATGGATCATTGATTTCCATCCTTAGATTTTTGTTGAACTATTACATTTTTTCTAAATACAGATCAGCTGTATCCCACAAGTTTTTATATGTGATATTTTTATTATCATTCTGTTGAAAATGTTTTCTTATTTCCACTGTGATTTCTTATTTAACTCATAGATTATTTATAACTTTTTAAATTGATTTTCAGGCATTTAGGGATTTTTAAAGTTTTTTTTAGTTATTGATTTTTAGATTAATTCCAGTATGATCAGAGAACATACTCTGATTTTAATTCTTTGAAATTTGGTGAGACTTGTTTCATGGCCCAGTGTGTATTTTGTTTTGGTAACGTCCATATATACTTGAGAATGATGCGTGCTCTACTGGGTGCTGTGTTTGTTAATCACATTCTTCTAATTTTCTGTATTTTAACTCATTTATTTTCTGCTTTGAGCTATTGAGAGAGGTGTGATGGGGATCTGTCTATTACTCCTTTGGTTTTGTCGGTTTTACTATATTTAAGACTGTGTTGTCAGATCTTCATGTTGGATTGACCTTTTATCTTCACCAAAAGCTTCTCTTTTATATGTAGTAATACTTCTTGCCTTAAAATCTATTTTTATCTTTCATTATTATATCTACACCAGCCTTTTTTTCTTGTTAAAGTCTGTATGTTTTCCATTCTTTTACTCCCAACTTTTCTGTCTTTAGATTTAAGGTGTGTCTATTATAAATAATATGTAGCTGGGTTTTAAAAAATCCATTCTGACAGTCTTTGCCTATTCAGAGGAGTGTTACTTCCCCTTCTCCACTTTATCCACCTTGTTAATGTGCCCTCATTAGTTTCTGGTTCAACCTTCCTGAGTTTCTTTTAGTAAATATAAATATTATGTTATATTATTTCCTCTTCCTTCTTACACAAAAGTGTCATACTATTTATGCTTCTTTGCATTTGGCTTTTTTTTGTTTGTTTGTTTACAGGGAAAGATTTGCCCTGAGCTGACATCTGTTGCCAATTTTCCTCTTTTGTTTTTCCTCCCCAAAGTCTCAGTACATAGTTCTATATTCTAGTTATAAGTCCTTCTAGCTCTTCTATGTGAGCCACAGCATGGCTACTGACAGACGAGTGGTGTGGTTCTGCATCTGGGAACCAAACCCAGGCTACCAAAGTGGAGCACACTGGACTTTAACCACTAGGCCATCAGGGCTGGCTTGCGCTTTGCTGCTTTTTTTTTTTCCTGAGGAAGAGTTGCACTGAGTGAACATCCATTGCCAATTTTCCTCTTTTTTTTGCTTGAGGAAGGTAAGCCCTGAGCTAACATCTGTGCCAATCTTCCTCTATTTTGTGTGTGGGTCGCTTGCCACAGCATGGCTGATGTGGTCTAGGTCTGCACCCCAGATCTGAACCCACTAACCTAGGCCACTGAAGCAGAGCACATGGAACTTTAACCACTCGGCCATGGGGCCAGCCCCTCACCTTGCTTTTTTTGACTGATAGCAATATATCCTGGAAACCACTCCATATCACATCTTCTTTAGTTTTTAGTTACAGCTGCGTAATATACCATTGTGTGAATGTACCATACTTTATGCATCCAATCTCCTGTGTAGGTTTTTTCCCAATATTTTTCAATTACAAGTAGTGCTGTACCTTGTTTGTATGTATTTTTGTATTCTTGAAGGTTCATCTGCAAGGTCCATTAACTCTTAGATGCAAGTCAAAAGGTGGACTAACTTGTGGTTTTATTTGATGTTGTCAAGTTCTCCTTCCATAAAGGTGGGCTATTCTCACCAGCAATGGATGAGAATGTCTCTTTCCTCACAATCCTGTCAAGAGAATGTGCTGTCACACTCTGAAATTTTACCAAATCTAATCTTTGAGAAATGGTTTCTCAGCACAATCATAATTTGTGTTTTTCTTATTATTACTAAAGTTGTCCATCTTTTCATATGCTTAAATGTCATTTTAAAATCTTTATTTGTGAATTGTCTGTAACTTTCCTTATTTTTCTATTGGGTTTTTGATCTTTCCCCCTCAATTTTAGAGTTCTTTATGTGTTGGGGGTGAATATTAGCCCTTTATCTGGGATGCATGTTAATCATGATTATTTGAAAATCTATGTGAGTCTGTGGGACTGTTTTAATTTTATTTCATTTAATTCTTTTGGGTTTTGGTCAACTGTTCCTCTTTCTTGGTAGGCCTGGTTGTTTTTGATTGAATGCCAGACTGTGTGTATAAAAAGTTGCAGAGGCTCTGGATGGTGCTGTTTTCTCCAGAGATGATTGGTTTACTTCTGGCTGACAGATGACAGATGGGTAGATAACCTTGATCAAGGCTGGCAAATTTAAGGTTTGCCTTCACTCAAAGGGAGTAGACCTTCTTGGGTCAAAATGGAAAGTCTGGGGTCTTTACCTTCCTCCTCGGCAGCCCTGAGAGCTACTTTTTATGTCCTCCACACAATGAGACACCTATTTTCTCCTTAGATTTGTAGGCTCATGGCAGTTGCTTCTGCTGGTTTCTCTGTGTCATCAGAGCTTGCACAGCTGAGGAGTCAGCAGAGGCCCCCAGGGGCATTGCCCTTCAGGCTCCCTTCTCTGCAGCTCACTCTTCTCCAGGATGCTGGCCTTGCAGCTTCTGTCAGCTCTTCCAAACCAGCAAGATCACTCAGCTATAGCTTGCTATTACCTCTGCAGCCTTTCTGCGCCGCATAGTGAATTGGGAAATCCCCCGATGAGGAACAGCAGAGGCAAGCTGCAGACTCACGTCTGTGTATCACCTGGTCCCCAGGGCTGCAGCCTGTAAAGTCTTGCTGGCTGGATTATTACCCCCTACTTTCAAACAGCTCTTCTTTCACATTTTATCTAGCTTTTCTAGTTGTTCTCCAACAGAGGGTTATTCTGTGACTGGTTACCCCATCATAGCTGGTAGCAGCAGTCATCTTTCCACTTAGTGCATTTCATTACGTTTGTATGGAAATGAGAGAACACAGTCAAATTGACAAGGAAATTGGCCTGCTCATACGCTGCTGGGAGGGTACAAATCGGTACCACTTTTCTGGAGGGCATTAATTTATATCAAAATCCTTAACAACTCATTTGCCCTTTGACCCAGCAATTCTGCTCCTAGGTATTTATCCTAAGAAAATAATCGTGGATGTGTGTGAAGATTTATTTACAAAGATTCTGATCTGAGTCAACAAAATTGGAATCAAAATCCTCAATATGCAACAATAGAGGTTTTGATAAATTGTGGTGCTTTAATACAATGGAATATAATGGAATTCAACATTACTGATGGTGTAGGAGAGCATTTAAACGTATTAATGATCTATTGTTAAGCACGAGAGATTACAAAACAACACATACACTGGTCTAATTTCAGAATGTATATACAGATATATGAAATAAGAATGGAATAATTCACACGGAAGTGTTAATAGGGGGTATTGTTGGGTTGTTCTTTCTCCTCTTTGCTTATGCATATTTAAAAAATTTCCATAAGCATTACTTTTGCCCTGAAAGAAAATTAATACACTTAAAAAAATCTTACATTTATAGGCCTAGTTGATAATGTTTTCTGGCAACATTTTGTTTTACACTGGTCACCTGAGCTTTATTTTTACGCCCTTAGTAGGGTTGCAGATTTCATCAGAAACGGTACCCTTCTTGAAAATACTTTGTGGAACAGAAGACCTCCATAAAGTATAGTTTAAATCCCCACTAGTCAAATTCAAACAAAGCTTTCACTTGTTTCTCACAGTGTGTACCACAGCCTTCTTAGTAAGGAGTCCTTTTAAAAAGTAAATACATTTGTGACCAGGACCTGGATTATCAGGGAAGATTTATTTCCTGGAAAAGAAAAAACTAATTTCCTTTTGAACCCAATGGCCAAAACTTAATGCAATTGTTTTTGTAAAACTAAAATCAAGATTTGTACAGCCCATTCTTATCCTTTGTGCTTTTGTTTATTGAAGGTACTCTCCAAGGCAGTGATCACCGTGACCTCTTGGTTTTCAAGGCTACTTTCTAGGAGTCTCCCTTCCTTGGCTACATCATCAAAGGACCAGAGAGTTGAGAATTGTCATTGGCACCAGGAGGCCTATGGGTGCTTCTTGCCCATCCGGGTGAGGTGGCAGGATAGTGACAGTGCGGCCATGCGAACCATGCCGTGCACCACAGCTACTTCGACACTATTATCAACTGCCACCTGATCAGGTAGACTTGAGTTCTTCACACCCACAGCCCCACATCAGCCCTCCGGATGCCCTCAGTTGGGAGTTGATGCAGGGCATTCTGGGAAGAGATTCCCTTGTTTTCCTCTGTTAGCATACCTCTTCTGTTAAGCCGACTGAAAGTCAGATTATTCCAGAGGAGAGCAGGCAGACCGACATGTGAGTGAGGTGTGTGGCCCGGCTGCCCCTGCAGTCACAGGTGTTCCTACACTTGGTCCCTTGTGCTAAATTGTCAGCAAAGGTGCAGGCTTTGAATCTCAAATAAGCACCTACACAGCAAGCCCCAGCGTACTCAGACCCTGGGCCACTTGAGCAGACATTAACATCAGCCCTCAAGGCCTTTTGTGAGAAAAGCAGCTGCTTCCCCCACAGAGGGCACGGGAGGAGGAAAGAGGGTGAAGATGTTGTTATTGCCTCTGGATGCTGTGAGGACACGATTGCCATCTGACGGCCGTGTCTGCAAGATCGGTTAGTATACAGTTGTTTAATATGATTCTCCATATGAAAGACTGTGTCGTACAGACAGATGTGCGTGAATCCTAGCTCCGCCTTGCATTAGCTGTGCAGTTTTGATCAAATTATTTAACCTTATTGAGTCTGTAAAAATAACGCACATTTATTGAGAGCTGTCTCTGTGTCTAGCACTGTGAAGCATTTATACACTTTTATTTAATCCCCACAGCTTGCTGAGAGAGTAGCAGATTCACTGCACCCAGACCTCCTTGCTTCTGCCCTTTGGGGGCGCTCTGGCCTGGCTGTCGACTGCCAGCACCAGTGTTTCTTTGCCTAAGGACTTTCTGTGGCCACCACAGCCCCCTTCTGCAGGCAGGCCAGAGGTGCGAGGAGTTAAGGTCCCCTGTAAGCAACCTGCTGTCTCTGCTGATGGGAGTTGGTGTAAGATACCCCTCTTCCTCACCTCCTGGATGAAGCAACTCTGAGCTGCATACTTCACACAGGCTCCCAGGCTTCCTCAGTGGGATTAAGCTCCAGTTCCCAGATTGGTACCTTTTTTGAAAAAAAATTCAGATAAAATTTACATAACATGAATTCTACTATCTGAACCACTTTAAAGTGCACAAATTAGGTAGATTTTAGTGTATTCACAATGTTGTGCAACTATCACCACTGTCTAGTTCCAGAACATTTCCATCACCCCCAACAAGATACCCCATACCTGTTAGCAGTCACTCTCAATTCCCCTCTCCTTCCATCCCCTGGCAACCATAAATCTACTTTCTGTCTCTATAGATCTGCCAATTCTGGACACTTCATATAAGTGGAATCATACAATGTGTGGTCTTTTGTGTCTGGCTTCTTTCATTTAGCATGATGTTTTCAAGGTTGATCCATGTTGTAATGTGTATCAGTACTTCATTCCTTTTTATGGCTGAATAATATTCCGTTGTAAGGACATACGCATTTTGCTTTTTGACTCATCAGTCGATGGACGTTTGGGTTGACAAAAGAAAAAAATAAGAACGAGGCCAGAGTCAAAGTGATGGTTACCCTGACTGCCTCAAGGCTGAGCTATGGGCAAAAATGAAAAATTACTTGTTAACCTTGACTGTCACCAGATGGCTGGAGAACAGTGCAGTGGTCTTTCCATGCGGTTAGGACGTGTAGAAAGCCCTGCCACAAGATACGCTGTAGCTGGGAAGGGTGACCAGTCAGAACCGGACTCAGCCTTGGCCTTGCACACTGCAACTTTTGCCTTTAAAAACTAGACACCCGAAGACCGAGAGGGGCTCACCTGTCAACCTGCGGGTTGAAGTGTACTTCTCTGGTTGGCAAACCTTTTTTTTTTAATAAAGTGTCTTTTTCTTTCAAATTTCATTTTTGCTTCATAAAGCTGCTCATTTCGGTTAACAGGATTGGTTCTACTTTTTGGCTATTATGAACAATGGCTACTTTTGGCTACTGTGAATATTTCTGTACAAGTCTTTGTATGGGTATGTTTTCAGTTCTTTTGGGCATATACTTAAAAGTGAAATTGCTGGGTCATATGATAACTGTGTTTAACTTGTTGAGGAACTGTCAAGATGTTTTTCCTAGTGGCTGTGCTGTTTCTATTCCCACCCGCAATGTAGGGGGCTTCCAATTTCTCCACATTCTCGACAACACTTGTTGTTATCTAGCTTTTTGACTGTAGCCATGCTGGTGGGTGTTAGGTGGTATCTCTTTTCGTTTTGATCTGTATTTCTCTCATGGTTAATTGTGTTGAGCATCCTTTCATGTGCTCGCTAGCTTTTGGTATATCTTCTTTGGAAAAATATCCATTCAGATGTTTTCCCATTTTCCAATTGGGTTATTTGTATTTTTATTGTTGGGTTGTAAGAGTTCTTTATATTTTCTGGATATTAGACCTTTTTCATATGTATGATTTACAAATACTCTCTGACATTCTGTGGGGTTTTTTCACTTTCTTGCTAGTGTCTGATGAACAGAAGTTTTTAATTTTGATGACAAGAGAGGTCACTCGTTAAGTAGCAAATGCTTTATCGGCCACTTTCCCTTCCTGTCCCTTCCTCACTTCTGCAAAAGCACTTAACATACCAAGAGTACCTTATAGTTACCACTGACGTTGCAGATTTGCTGTGTTAGGGAACTTAAATTTCTTCTTTCTTCAGAAGGAAATGTATAGAACAACTTTGACAAGCAGAGTGCCTGGTTCTCTCTAGGGTTCTGTGTGGTCCTGAGTCTTCACTTTGTGTGCGCCTGTCAGTAATTCCTCTAGAAGGTGCTTGCACTTGCTTACTTAGGAATAATATACTGGTTTTTTTTTTTTTTTTTTTTTTTTTTTTTTTAGCTCATTTTAGCTTTTAGGAGAATGTGTGCTTTATACTTTGAAATCCACAGCAGTTGGTAGAGACAGTATTTGAGGCTATTTGTAATTTCACATCATTTATCCCAAAGGAAAACTTGACAGTGAATTTACCAGCTCACTTCAGGGCTCCTCACTCTTTTTTGGAAGGGTGAGCCTCATCACTTGTTTGGGTTGACTCTTAGTCTCACTGCAGTTGAGACCTAGTGGTGTGTCTCAGCGAGTTCAGGCTGCTATAACAGAACACTATAGATGGGGGGCTTGAACAGCAGAAGTTTATTTCTCACAGTTCTGGAGGCTGGAAGTCCAGATCAGAGTGCCAGCATGGTCGAGTCCTGGTGAGGATGCTCTTCCTGCTTTGCAGACAACCCCTTCTTGCTGTATCCTCACGTGGCTGAGGCAGCAAGCTCTAATCTCTTTCTCTTTCTGTAAGGACATTAATCCCACCATGGGGACTCCAACCTCATGACCTCATCTAAGCCTAATTACCTCCTAAAGGCTCCACCTCCTTATACCATCCCATCGGGGGTTATGCTTTCAAAATATGAATTTCAGGGGAATGCAGACACGCAGCCCATAACATGGCTTTTGAACGTGTCCCATTTGTGAATGGGGCATCTGGAAAGAAGATGTGCAGATAGCGATGAATGAGACCTTTATCCAGTAGAGATTATGTCTAAAGGTCCCAGTTTGTTGTAAACTGTTTTACCCAGTGTCTGCTTCTGCCAGTTTGGGGGAAGAACAGGGGATGGCAGCATGGATTCCTGTCAGAATAGAGAGTGTCCTATCTCATGCAGAAGTCTTCAGGTATTACACATTGGCTCCAAAACTGTGAAAATACCCTGGATATTGTGGCCAGGAACTTCCTAGTCATGACAAAAGAATGGATTTACCTTTATACTTTTTCTGAGAGACCTGAGGACTGTTTCACAGGTTTCTCACTGACTGTCAGAGCCAAGCCAACACCACATGAAGCTGTGGGAACGCAGGAAGACCAGCTGTGGAGAGGCAGCCTCGTTTCACCGGTGCGAGGCGATGCAAGGAAGGCCAGCTGGCCTGGCCGTAGCAATGCATCCCAGACAGACATTGCCTCTTCCTCCTGGCTTTCTAAGGATGCACCAAACGCTCTGGGGTAATCCTCGTCTAGAACATTTCTTCTTTGAAGGGGTCTTTCTCCAGGAGAGGGGACCAGGGAGTTGTGGAGGGGATGGCGGGGGAAGGTGAGAAAGATAGCCCAAGACACCACCGCCTCCCAAAGTTCCCATCACTTTGACACAAGGAAGGGGTTAAGTCATTCTTGAACAGTTTATCGCTCATCAATTGTAATTAAATATGTTTATATTAAATTATGTTCTGTAATTAATGTAAAATCCTTTAGCCTGTGCTGTTATTAGAACCAGATGCTGAAGTACCAACAATATTTCAACATGACTGTGCTGCCTCGCCAGCTGTCTGACTGTAATTACTTTAATCTCAGCTTGTTATCTAATTATCACCTTTGTAAAGGGAAAAGTGCTCTCTAATGCTTGCTGATTGTTTCAGATGATGATGAAGAGCGGGAGCAGCTGTCAGAGATCGTGGGCCCTGCTTATCATGACGAGGGAACGTATCCTGAAGCCTATTCAGGGCCAAACTGCTGAGAAAGAGTCCCAGGTGGGAGCAGGACTGGCCAGTGAGGGTAGAGAGCTGTGTGGTGGGTCAGGGTGCGGCCCTGTGGATAAACTGTCAGGGACACCTGCCTCCTCCAGCGATGGCTGGGGGACAAGTCACTGAGCCATTTACAACTCAGCTGTCTCATCTGTAACAGAGACAGTAACAATACGAGAGTCTACCTCAGAGGGCTGTTGTGAGGACTCAGTGAGGTGGTGTGTGCGAAGCCCTCTGCACGTGCTTGACAGAAGGGACATCCTTAGTAAACATGAACTGTTCTTCTTCCTCTTTGAAAAAATCAGTGTTGGTTTTCTCCATTTCCCTTTTAGCCTTGATAGCCAAATCGGAAACAATCGAGATGGGATCTGCATGCCAGCAGCTTGGCATTCTCAGTTTGTTTTCTGAATTATGCTGAAATTGGGACTTTTGGGACTGAAATTTACCTTCGCATTGCTTATTAAACAATGGTCCACCAAACCAGTCCTGAGTCTGGATAAGAATTGTCAGGGAATCCAGATACTCTTCACAGGGAGAAGCTGCTTTGGCACAGCTTTCAGTACCTTACGTATGTGTGTGCGTACGGCAGTGGATCTGGTAACTGCGGCTCATTCCTATGTAATCCTTGAAGTGGCTCCCTGAGGATGTCTATTAAGTTTTGACTTCTTCCCTTTCAAGGCTGCACTCCTGTCAGAGGGGCGTTTGCACTGCTCTCCCCGCCACAAACTTTTTCAGGAAACAGGCAGGTACCGACTATTTTAGGCTTGGTGGGCCGTAGGTCTCTGTTGCGACTGCTCAGCTCTGCTGCTGTTGGGGAAAGCAGCCAAGGACAACAGGTATATGGACACATGGCTGTGTTCCATTAGAACTTTATTGTAGTTCCCTGCTTATCCCACTCTCTCTGTGCTGTTGTATTTATGTAGCTTGAGTCACTCTTCTGGCTTCTTCATCATAGATTGCTAATACATTGTTACTGAATTTTTTCTCTTATAATAGTACGTCACCCCATCCTGAACTCCTCAAGCTAGGAAATGTGGTCTCTTAGCTTTAATTTCCCCCCAAAGCAGAGCTGAGATGAGATCTTGTGTGCAGGTAGTTTGTCTTAGAAATTGATCCCAAAGAGTAAGAGTGGGGACCGAGGAGCAGTGAATTAGAAGGAAAGCCAACCCAGCATTGCTGAGCTGATCAGCAGTGTGGACAACAGCAGCTGAATTCCAGTGTGGGTCCCTGAGGAGCCATGTGGAAAGGGCCTCGGAAGTCTCTGCCCGCAGGACAGAAATGGAGCACTTATCCATTGGCGCCATCCCTCATTGTTTAAGTCTTGCCCCATGAGGTATTAGCTCCCTCTCTCTTGCAAGTGTGTGTCCATGTCAGAATCACTGAGATGATTCCTGCAACCTCCCACGAGGCTGGGGCAGAGACACCCTGGCAGAAAGCGAGACTCTCCATGCTGCCGAGGCTGGGTGCTGTCGGGTCCCAGCTGAGACGGTGGCTTGCTGCAGCCAGGCCAGAGCAGAGATGGGCTCAGAGGGTGTGAAGCAGCCTGGCAGAGGTGTCCAGTACATGTGCCGTACATTTTCTGTTGCCTGGCACGGTCGGGTGCATGTGCTGAGGAGCCGTGGTTGGCAGGGGGGCCCATGGTGCCAGATTGCCCAGGGTTTCATCCCGGTTCTGCTCCATGGTGGATGTGTGATCTTAAATTCTGGTTCTGCTCGTACTGGAGGTGTGGTCTTAAGTTCTAGTTCTCCTCATACTGGATGTGTGATCTTAAATCCTGGTTCTGCTCCATGCTGGAGGTGTGATCTTAAATCCCTGTTCTGCTTGTACTGGAGGTGTGATCTTAAATCCTGGTTCTGCTCGTACTGGAGGTGTGATCTTAAATCCTGATTCTGCTCTTACTGGAGGTGTGATCTTAAATCCTGGTTCTGCTTGTACTGGAGGTGTGATCTTAAATCCCGGTTCTGCTTGTACTGCAAACAGCGAGAGTTCTACTTCTTCATTGCCTGTTTGGATTCCTTTTATTTCTTTTTCCTGCCAAATTGCTCTGGCCAACACCTCCAGTACTATGTTGAATAGGAGTGGTGAAAGTGGGCACCCTTGTCTTGTTCCTGTCCTCAGAGGGATGGCTTTCAGTTTTTGTCCGTTGAGTATGATGTTAGCTGTGGGTCTGTCATATATGGCCTTTATTATGTTGAGGTACTTTCCTTCTATACCCATTTTATTGAGGGTTTTTATCATAAATGGGTGTTGGATCTTGTCAAATGCTTTCTCTGCATCTATTGAGATGATCATGTGGTTTTTGTTTCTCATTTTGTTAATGTAGTGTATCACGTTGATTGACTTGTGGATGTTGAACCATCCCTGTGTCCCTGGTATAAATCCCACTTGATCATGGTGTATAATCTTTTTGGTGTATTGCTGTATTTGGTTTGCCAGAATTTTGTTGAGGATTTTTGCATCTATGTTCATCAGTGATATCGGCCTTTAGTTCTCTTTCTTTGTGTTGTCCTTGTCAGGTTTGGGGATCAGAGTGATGTTGGCTTCATAGACTGTGTTAGGTATTGCCCCATCTTCCTCTATTTTCTGGAATAGTTTGAGAAGGATAGGTATTAAATCTTCTTTGAATGTTTGGTAGAATTCTCCAGAGAAGCCGTCTGGTCCTGGACTCTTATTTTTGGGGAGGTTTTTGATTACTGTTTCTATTTCTTTACTTGTGATTGGCCTATTCAGATTCTCCATTTCTTCCTGGTTCAGTTTGGGGAGGTTGTAAGAGTCCAGGAATTTGTCCATTTCTTCTTGGTTGTTCAATTTGTTGGCATATAGTTTTTCATAGAATTCTCTTATGATCCCTTGTATTTCTTTGGTATCTGTTGTGATTTCTCCTCTCTCATTCCTAATTTTATTTATTTGAGATTTCTCTCTTCTTTTCTTGGTGAGTCTGGCCAAGAGTTTGTCGATTTTGTTAATTTTTTCGAACAACCAACTCTTTGTTTCATTGATCCTTTCTACTCTCTTTTTAGTTTCAATATCATTTATTTCTGCTCTTATTTTTATTATTTCCCTCCTTCTACTGAGTCTGGGCTTTGTTTGTTCTTCTTTTTCTAATTCTGTTAGGTGTCGTTTGAGGTTGCTTATGTGAGCTTTTTCTTCTTTTGTGAGGTGAGCCTGTATTGCGATGAATTTCCCTCTTAGGACTGCTTTTGCTGCATCCCAAATGATTTGGTATGATGTGTTCTCATTTTCATTTGTCTCCAGATAATATTTGATTTCTTCTTTAATTTCTTCAATAATCCATTGTTTGTTCAGTAGCGTGTTGTTTAGTCTCCACATTTTTGCACCTTTCTCTGCTTTATTCTTGTAGTTGATTTCTAGTTTCATAGCATTGTGATCAGAAAAGATGCTTGATATTGTCTCAACTCTCTTGTATTTATTGATGCTTGCTTTGTTTCCCAAAATATGGTCTATTCTTGAGAATATTCCATGCGCACTTGATAAGAATGTGTAGCCTGCTGTTTTTGGATGAAGTGTTCTATATATATCTATTAAGTCCATCTGGTCTAATTTTTCATTTAATTCTATAATTTACTTGTTGATTTTCTGTCTGGATGATCTATCCATTGGTGTTAATGGGGTGTTGAGGTCCCCTGCTATTACGGTATTGTTGTTGATGTCTTCTTTTAGTTCTGTTAAGAGTTGCTTTACAAATTTTGGTGCTCCTGTGTTGGGTGTGTGTGTATTTACAAGTGTTATGTCTTCTTGGTGGAGAGTCCCTTTTATCATTATATACTGTCCCTCTTTGTCTTTCTTTACCTGTTTTGCTTTGAAGTCTACTTTGTCTGATATTAGTATAGTGACACCTGCTTTCTTTTGTTCATTATTAGCTTGGAGTATTGTCTTCCATCCCTTCACTCTGAGTCTGTGTTTGTATTTGGGGCTGAGGTGTGTTTCCTGGAGGCAGCATATTGTTGGGTCTTGTTCTTTGATCCATCCTGCCACTCTGTGTCTTTTGATTGGAGAGTTCAATTCATTTACATTTAGAGTGATTATTGAAATGTGGGGGCCTACCACTGCCATTTTATGTCTTGTTTTCCAGTTCTCTTCAATTTCCTTTGTTTCTTGTCCCATGGTTTAGTCTGTTCTGATGGAGAGCTGCTACTCTCTGTTGTTGTCCTTCTACTTATCTCCTTTGTTCTTGGTTTTGTAGTCCCTTTCCTTTTTTTGATTTTTCAGGAATGAGGGTTTTCCTGAGCATTTCTTGAAGAGGAGGTTTGGTGGCAATGAACTCCCTTAATTTTTGTTTATCTGGGAAAGTTTTTATTTCTCCATTGTATTTGAAGGTTATTTTTGCTGGGTAGAGAATTCTCGGCTGTAGGTTTTTGTCCTTCAGATTTTTGAATATATCATTCCACTCTCTTCTAGCCTGTAAAGTTTCTGCTGAGAAATCTGCTGAAAGCCTGATGGGGGTTCCTTTGTAGGTTAATTTCTTCTGCCTGGCTGCCCTTAGTATTCTCTCCTTGTCGTTGACTTTTGCTAGCTTCACTACTATATGTCTTGGGGTTGGTCTACTTGCATTGATAAAGTTTGGAGATCTATTAGCTTCTGTCACCTGAAGTTCCCTCTCTCTCCCCAGGTTTGGGAAGTTCTCAGCCATTATTTCTTTGAATAGGCTTTCTGCCCCCTTCTCCCTCTCTTCTCCCTCTGCTATACCTATAATCCTTAGGTTGCATCTCCTAATTGCGTCAGATAATTCTCGGGGAGTTTCTTCATTTCTTTTTAGTCTTAGCTCTCTCTCCTCCTCTGCCTGCAGCATTTCTATATTCCTATCTTCCAAATTGCTAATTCTTTCCTCCATATTATTGGCCCTACTGTTCAGTGCGTCTAGATTTTTCTTAATATCCTCTCTTGTGTTCTTCATTTCCAGTATTTCTGTTTGGTTCTTCTTTATAGTATCGAACTCTTTTGTGACATAGCTCCTGAACTCGTTGAGTTGTCTATCTGAATTCTCT